CCACTCATATATGACCTGATACTGAACCCGCGAAATTTTTCGAGTGTCGTATAGGTGGAATATCATAAAGACCGTTTACGAAAGTGGCCACGCCATGCGATAATTCTGTTCAAGTTAAAAAAATGCTTCCACGCGAGTTCCCCTCCATTTTCAACTGATTATGATGAGAAGAAGCAGCATTGAATAAGATCTTAGTTGACAACAGGCCTTTGCCATTTGTCAGTGACTTTTTCATGTCAATCGGATGTGGAATGAGACTAAGTGCAGTCAAGAAGAAGAATAAATTATCGCTGTTACAGGTTTGATAGAACAGTGGCTTTTGGACTGCAGACGGAAGCGATGAACTGTTGATAAATGTCCTGACTGTGATGCTTTCTTTAACCAGTCTTTCTTATACAAATGATACTATGTTCACCTCATCATTACTTCCAGACAAATTGAAGGAATAGGCCAGACGGAGGGAATATACCATTTGACCATCTGCGTTTTGAGTTCTCATATATTTACGTCTAAGTTTTGGACGAGGGAAAATCGGCAAACAACCAAGATTTATGAAAAAGGAGTGCATAAGATGAATTTTAGTTCGAAAAATCAAAAACCCAGACATTCTAGATTGCGATAGGAGGTGTGCGTTTTGCCTTATTGTTCCATATGCGGTGAAATAACCCTTATTTGTATATCGGGTGGCGGAGGGTTTTGCTTCCTGGGAAGGCTGCATAAATGATTAAAGAAGCCATTTTGAAAAATATTTGAATATTTGCGGGTCTACATTGTCAGTTTTATGTTGCGTGCATGAGGAACCTCAACCACCTTAACCGAATTTCTGGGCAACAGTGTAACAAGTAAATTTGCTTTGTTTTGTTTGCGGATTTTTATGCCACGTTTTATCGCCACGTTTTCTGCCGTATTTTACCGAGCAATGCGCGTACGTGATAGAAGCCCTATACCCCAGGAAAACTACTATGAACAATGCGGTAATACGGTTTTCACTGGACGCAAATAGTTTCTTATTTTGCAGTCGGACTTTCTTGAATTTCGTCCGAATAGTCACAACATATGCAAGATCTAGGTAAATAGTAACAGAGTTAACAGGCAGGCCGACCACTACTACAAAGGTTTGACCAAAAAGTCTAAGCTCTAAATAGTTAAATTAGCTGGACGAAACAAAGGCTAAAACGGTGAACGGTTTTTACGAAAATTTCACGTATTTCTCACATCCATTTATTAGGCCTACTGAAGACTCATGGTGACGTTATGCGTCTTATTCGATAGAAGAATGCGCAATTTGGCAAAATAGATTTATTTTAAGTCGGACTTGTTTAGTGCAGATTGAGAAATTTTGGCGGAAGCAGTCATTAATTTTATTGGCTATATCTTCCTCAATGAAATAAATAATAAACTATGATAAGATTGCTCGTTTAAGATGTGGGCACGTGAGGAGTATGGCGAAAGGTGTCTCATTATGTCTCTTACTGGCATTACAGGTACGAGCTAGAAGTTAAGACATGCATTTTGCAAGGTTTCTGCATCTGCATGAAGAGGAGATTACATAGACTAAACCACACCAGACACAATGGCGAAATTAGTAGATAAAAGCGTTTGTTTTAGACAAAAGGATGCATGTACAAAGCGCTGCCCATATACCGACGGTGGTATTTCATCTCCAGAAGAACCTGCTATAGCACTTTTCGCCAGTTTTCAAAGTTACTATCATATTACAAGAGTCGTGGAATAAGAATGAAGCATTTACCATTCATCATTGTGTACGCTGGGACAAAATTATTGTACTTAAGTTGGAGAAAAACCTTTAGACCTCTCAGCATTCGCAAACTTCAGCTTTATGATAGTTACTTAACAACCCAGAGTTGCAGCTGTGTGGGAATAGCCTTTAGGTGGGTTCAGAAATATTCCATCTCCACATAGAAGTTAATGTATGTGCGTTCAAAGGGATTTTATAACCTCGGTTTCGTAGACCCTATGCCAGAGGGTTCTCTTAGAAGTTCGTTCGAACATATGATGTTTCATGCGTAAAAATGCACCAGCTTCAACTGATGTGTTGCAGTTGCAGTAATCGTTCGCATTGTTCATTTACGCTGAAGCTAACAACTGGGGCTTAAATCACGAGAATTGAAGTGCGTGGAGATATTGATAGGATAGCAGGTTTACCTAATATTACAATTCTCTCTGTCAACAAACCATGTAAGCCGAACGAAATTCGGTAGTACAAATAGATGCCCATATGACCTGCAGATTCCTATAGTTATATGCA